CCACTGGGCGCACAGGTGGGGACCAGCACCCTGACGCGGCTCCCCTCGCCCTGGTAGGAGTCACGGAGACACCAAAGCCCATGACACTCGCCAGTGCCCTGGCTGTCCACCTTGCTTCCCGTCAGGATTGGTGGGGTGGCCGCACTCGAGGTCCCACGGGTTGGTTGCAGTTTGATCCACACTGTCCCCATGTTGTGTTTTGCTGTATAAAGACCCCGGAAAGAGCCTCGTGGCCACCCACTCCAGGGACGCTCGGGTCCCTTGGGTGCCTTCTCTCAATAAACTTCCAGTCTTCGGTATCAGGAGGCATGAACTCAGCCCTGCTGACACCTGACAGGCCAGGAGCAGCTTCCTTGTGATAACCTTGCATCCCCGTCGCTGTCAGTGTTAATGTCCACCACCTGACTCGGGGCGTTTGTCATGTTTCTCCCATCGAGTTGTTTCCCCCACCCTTGCTCCATTTGGAAGGAAGTTGCAGTATCAGTCAGCTTTGGGTGCTATACAGATACCCGAGCTTGCCAGCTCATAAAGCAGAAAGGGTTACTTTGGTTGTTTGGAGATGTCGGTCCCTGATTGGTGGCCTGGTTGCTTTGGAGCCCTGGTGAGGCAGCTCATCCTGGCAGGACTGTGACAGAGCAGCTGCCGCTTCATGGCCTGGAAGAAAGAACAAATGCAAAGGGGACCGAGATCCCAGCTGCCCATCAAGGGATGCCCCATGGCCTGAGCAACCCCTACACCCCAGTGTCACCGAGGGCTGGGGACCAAGCCTTTGACACACAGGCCTTGAGGGACATTTAAGATTTGAACTGTGTTGCTGGACATGGTGTTGCACACCTGTAATCCCAGCTACTGGGGAGGCTGAGGCAGGATGGTCACAAATTCTACCACGGCCTGAGAACTTAGTGACTTAGTGAGACGCTGTCTCAAATTGTAAAAAGGCTGGGGATGTAGCTCAGTGGGAAGGCCCCAGGCTTAACTCCCAGTTTAAAAAGAAAAGAAAAGAAGGAAAAAAAGAGTCTCCCCTTTGGAGAGTGGCCGTGAAGACTTCAGGGAGAAACGTCCCGCAGTGTGGGCACACAGTAGGTGCACATGAAAGCTGTTGACCCGGAGGCCGGAGCTCAGTTGCTCTTACTCCCCCCGGTGATCAGGGTGTCCCCACCTCTCCTGGCGGGGTCCGCCTGAACTCCCCTGCTGCAGCCGCCCACGGGAAGTGTTCACCCCAGAGGTCACTGCTGCTGGTGCCACTGCCTTCAGCGTCTCCTTCTCCCTCCCAGCCCATCCCCCTGCCCCTGCCTTCCTCCTGCGCTTCCTCCTCCTCTCTCCCTCCCTCCCTTGTCCCTCTTTCTCCTCTGCTCAGGCTCCTAGTCCTGCAGAGCTGTGCAGGGTTCAGGGCCCCACCAGGCAGCTGTGTCTGGGCACTGTGAGGACCCCTGTAACCCGTGCCCTCTGGGGGTGACCGTTGGGTCCCCTGCCCAGCCTCCCCTAGAGGAGGAGGAAGTGGGACCAGAGGGGGTCAGGAGCGCCGCCAGTCACTTCGGCTCCAGGTGGGCCAGGCCAAGGTCCCCAGAGATGGAGCGAAAGGGCCAGAGCTCCCGGGGACGTGAGGACCTCCTGGGCCTAAGTGTCAGCCTCCCTGGGCCAGGGTTTGGCTCCGCAGGCCCGAGGCACAGTGAAGGTCAGGACCTCGGAACGGAGTGGGGGGGCGTGAACTCGGGGGACCCAGGAGATGGCCGGCTTCTCGGTAAACACTGTCTCCAAAGGTCAGGGCCCCGGGGGGTTGTGAGGAGCAAAGATGAGTGCGGGGTGTGTGTGTGTGTGTGTGTGCTCGTGTGTGTAAGAGAGAAAGAGAGAGAGACAGAGAGAGACAGAGACAGAGATAGAAACAGAGATAAATAGAACAAACAGAGATAAGAGAGACAGAAAGAAACAGAGAGACAGAAACAAAGATACAGAAAGAGACAGGGTGACAGAAACAGAGCTAAATACTCAAGAGCTCCCCCTGGTGGCCAGCGCTATGGGGCAGCGCACCTTCCTCCCCGAGGGCTACTGTGGCTTCTTCCTCTCCTGGGAGTCCGTCCTGACCTCCTACAATGGCTTCCTTGACTCAGAGGCCCCCTTTCCCCTCAGACTGAATACCCGCCGCTCATCAGATCTGAGTCCATTATCAACATACATCCGTTTAATGCACACAACAGTCCTGGCAAGTAGGAACTGTGCTCAGCCCCCTTTTGCAGGAGAGGAAACAAAGGCAGAGAGGCTAGAAACTTGCCTGTGTGCACGGCCAGGAGGCAGAGAAGAGGCCAGTTGGTTCCTACATTGTGCTGGTGGCTGCCTGGCCTCAGGAGGGTGACACCCTCTCCCTCATTGTCAACCTGGACTCACAGTGCCACAGCTGCTTTGTGCAGATGGGGACACACAGGTGACTGACCTGGCGTGGCCTCGGCAGGTCTCCCTCGCTGCACTCAGCCACACTCCTGGACTCTCCTTCCAGGGAGTCCAGCAGCTAAAGAATTCTACCTGGCTCCCTCTGAACCCGTTCCCTGTAATCCTCACCCTGTCCTTCCCTTTGTTCACCCTTTGGTGAACGTTTCTGACAGCTGAGACATTCAGGTTCCCAGATGTCTCAGCCTTGAGTCTGCTAGCCTGGGCCCGGGAATGAGCGTTTTACACAGCTTTCTAAGTGGTGCTGGTTCCAGGGCACCATATTTTGAGAAACTACTCCCGGCTGAGTGATTCTGGTGTGGATCCAGGGCTTGTCTTGAGGGTGTCCCCAGCGAGGGTGGTGGAGAGAGATGTTGTGCTGGCCAGAGGGGCAGGGCCTGCAGCCTCCAATGCTGGACAGCAGTGACAGTTCCCCTAGGCCGGCCCTGGACTGGCCTCCCTGTACTGTACTTGCCTGAAGGCTTTCCTCTCAACTTCGTGGTTCTGATTATTCAAGGCAGTCAAGAGCTCTGAATTCCCAGGTGACATTGGTGAGAAATATTAGTAAGTTATTAATACAAGATGATCTAACACAAGCTTGCTCTGTACATAAACTCGGGGAGGGGGCAGAAGCACAACCAGGTGGCCTTTCAGCCTATTTGTTCATTTATTTATTTATTTACTTATTTATTTTGGTACCGGGGATCGAACTTGGGTCCTTGCGCTTTCAAGGCAGGCGACAGAGCCACTGAGCTAAATCCCTGGCCCTCTTTTATTTTTCTTTTTGAGACACAGTTGCACCATGTATCCTAGGCCGGCCCTGAACGTCTGCTCCTCCTGCCTCAGCTTCTGGCCTGCTGGGGTTGTGTGCATGGGCCTCATGCCCAGCTAATGCTGAACAGCCCTTTCTGCCCAGAGCTGGAGGCTGAGTGTGGGGAGCCCTTGGGCAGCAGTGCTGGCTGCAGGGCAGGGACAGCAGTGTCAGGCTGGAGTCCCAGGCAGCACGTTCCTTCAGGCACACTGGGGAGGGAGGGACACCTGGGGAACCAGCCTAGCCTGGGCCAACCCTGCTCTGGAGCTGCCTGTGACCGTCATCCTGGCTCAGCTGTTTAGTTAATTGAGAGGGAATGCTGGTTAGAAAAACTGTGGGTAGGCTGTGGGCACGGGTGATTACACTGGTTCCTTGGGTCTTTCCACAGAGAGCTTCAGACAGGAAGTCTGTGGAAACAGTCACAGCTACCAGCGTGATTCGCCACTGAGCTCCTCTAGTCACAGGGGTTGGAGGCAGGCCTGATCCTGGTTCTTGAGGAGAAAGGAACCTCTCGAGGTTGCCTGGGAGTTACAGGCATGGTACCAAGCACAGATTTTGGGGAGGCTTGTTCTGTCTGGGGCGGGAGACAAGTTCTTTCATTCATGCATCATCTGTCCGTCTGTCCGTCCAGTGAGTCGCAGATACTGGGCGCCTCCCATGTGCCGACCCCGGGCTCCTGGTTCAGGTTTGTGGTAGAGAAAGCAGGCTCCCCCATGCTGTGGCTTCTGGGTGAGGAAAGTGTCAGGCCCGGCCTAAACCAACAGGACAAAGCAACAGGCTGCTTTCAGCAAACAACAGCAGCTTCTCAGTAAACAGGGCAAATGGACTCAAAACGAAGTATACAACTTCCCTGGTGCCGAGAAGTCCAGTGACTGCCACACACCTGAGCAGGCCGTCCCTGGGCATCAAGTTAAAAGCATTCCTTATGAGTGTAGCCCCTTCCCCAGTCTACATGAGTACAGCCTTCTTT